ATAGAAAGAAAACTAGAATACTGGGCCACAGTGTAAGATCTTGTCTCAACAATAGCAGAAATAGCATTTGGGATGCAGAGGCCGGTGGAAAACTGTGAGTTTGAATTTGCCGCGGTCTACATAGTGAGTTCTAGGCCTGCTAAGGCTACACAGTGAGACCCTGTTTGAAAAACAAAACAAGACAACAAACAAAGCTGGCTATATGCTTCAATAACTTAGATAAAAAAGTAATTATATCAAATATTTTGCTTTTCTTTTATTCTAATTAGCCTTGACAAAAAGATATAGATTAGAATTCTTTCATCTTTTAGCTCATTTACTCATTCACTCACTCAACAGATGATTGTTTCATGAGAATTCATTCTATAGAGAATCTTTCTATAACATGAAGAGCGTAGATAGCAGTAAAGATACACAGAGACGATTCCCATGATTCTCAGAGTCTGTGTTGAGTAAGAAAAAGAACTTGAAATAACTACATTTATATAATTGTATTTATTTAACACTGGGAAGCAGTTACTTTAGATATTTGGAATTGATAATAAATAAGACAAGCAAGGAAAGACAAATTTCTTTCAATGTGGAAACTTGTAAATTGATAGCAGACATTAAAAAATAGAAATAAAATAAGCATACACAGCTATGACTAAGAAAGCCACATGAGTCTAAAACTAATAAACAAACAAAAACCGCGGCTGTGAAGAGGGAACAGCAACCATTCACCCCATTTCGGGTCCTGAATGCTTAAATTCTGCAACTGGACTCCCAAGCTGACGGGATTTGTCTAATTTGTCTTGAAACTCCTAAAACACGACTGTAGATGGCGCCATCACTTTGACCATTGCCGTGTGATTTTGCTAAAGATTTTGGTTTATTCCTTCCAGCCTGGCTTAGATCACACTTTACAGGAAATTTATTTTCATTCACCAGTTTTCCATCTTTTTTCAGCGTACAAGGATCTTGATAGACATTTTCGCAGGAGGAAGCCAGCTCAGAAACTGAAACATTTTCAAGTTACTCAGTCGCTCCACAGCAGGCGCAGGAGAAAGGACACCACCACCCGCTGTGGCTCTGGATCCTGAATTTAGAAGCTGCGCCAGTGATTTATTTACACTGTTCTCTGATGCCCGCTGCTCTCTGTAGAAACACCCGATGAATTTCTGCCAATATTTTAAGCTCAGTTACTTTATTCTAAAGCAAACTGTGCATACAATCCCCACACAAAGAACAAAGGCTCCCGGGGTGCTGCTGTTGATCGAACTAGGACAGTCCAGAGACCTTCCTGGGGCTATCTGGCACTACATCCCGCTTACTCTCTTTATGTTAAGTATGATTCTGAAATTAAGAGCACAGGCAGTCAAAGTCAAAGATCCGACTGATCAATGGATGGCTAATGATGTACTAAAAGTGAATGCAATGGGGGGGGAGGGGAGCCACTGTGAGCAGAATGAAGGACATAGCATAGGTCACCCAAAGCACATAAATAAATATGCAAGAAAAACCCACTCCATTTTGTACACGGGTACCTAAACATCACATCATACTCGAAAAATGTAACACAGTTACGACTTTCAATTGAATGTAAGACAAAAGTTAAAACTAAATGAATTACATACTTATTACCACTAAAAAAACAAAAACAATTTCCATGAGTTTGTAGGCTTTCTGTAATTCGTGTTGTTGTTGAATTATCCTGTCCCTGGCCCTTAGCTGGCTTTTGGGAACCTGTTCCCCATGCTGAATTACCTCAACCAGCCATGACCAAGGGGAGGAACTCAGTCCTACTTCAACTTTTTGTGCCATGCTTGCACAAACCCATGGGGGAGGGAGGCATGGGGCACTGGGAGGAGAGAGGGGAAACTGGTCAGTATGTAAAATAAATGAAAAAATGTTATTTAAATTTAAAAAAGAAAAAAAATTAAATCAAATGCTTCTTCCTTGAAAATGCCAGTCAGCATTTGCTCTTCAATTCCCCCTACCTTTCCCAGGCAGTTTAGAGACACCCAGTTGTGGGACAGAAGGTGGAATTGTTGACAGTTCAGAGTGATGACTTCCAGGAGAAGCATGGTTGCTTCCCTGTCTGGCTCCAGACACTGTGCTGGGTATTGAACTCAGAATATGTGGAAAGACAGAGTGTTCTTCCTTTTCAGGGTTAGAAACTGAACCACACGATGGCACTGACTGTACCAGACAATAGAGTTTAGGCTGTAACAGAGATTATATGTTTTTGCTTTTGAAGCAGTATCATTTATTTTTATAGCAGGTATAGATAGGTGAGGTTTTTAAAAGTGTCTCTCATTGTGTAGCCCAGGCTGCCCTTGAAATTGCAATCCTCTCACCTCTGCCTCTCATGTGCTGAGGTTACAAGCACGTGACACCAAGTCCAGGTTAGTGGTGGTTTCTATCCTCAGAGAAGCAGGAAGGGTAACAAGTGAGAATAAAGTATAATGACACATATGAACGGAAATGTCATGATGCCTATGGTTTGTATGCTAACCTAAACATGAGAAAAAAGAGAATTATCAGCTGATGAATAATAATAAGTATTAATATTTTAAAGCATCTTTTCTTTGACATTTATAGACACATATGTGTATAAATGTTTATACATGGAATTAACATGTATTTGTTGAAAATATGTGATGAATAAAAGTTCTTAATTTCTTAGGAAATACCACTGTGACTAACATGGGTAAGATTCTTAACTCTCAGAAGCAGTTTTTAATTTTTTGTTGTTTGATACTTTCATATGTTTATATGATGAAATTTGGTTATTTTCATGCCCCAAACTCCTCTCTCACCACCTCCTCTCTCACATGAGCCCATTTTCTCAACCACTTTCTCATGCATTCATGTCTTCTCATGTATGACCCACCAAGTTTAATTAATTAGTGAGTACGGAAGGGAACTTGGCAGGGGCTATTGACTTGCATCCTCTTTTCTGTGTTTTAATGAAAAATAAGAATGTTACTTTTATTTAGACACTGAAAGAGGATCTCCTCCTCCCTCTCTCTCACATGAAGATCTCATGGCCCGTGTCATGGGTGATCTTCCTCTTTTTGTTGTTTTTTTCAGATGTCAACATACCTTATCTTGGGGTAGAATGTCCTACATCTCATCACATTGCTTCCCAAAGATTGTATTATGAATTGAATGACTAATGGATATTGAGAATAGATACACAAGACCCCTATACTTCTCCATGAACAGTCAGTAAGACTTTTGTGACAGACCAGGAAAGAGGCAGAATCTCACTTAGTTACCTTCCACTGAATGCTCTATTGTCTCCATCCTTGTTAAATCTTGAGAAGTACATACTTATTATCATATAATGGCTGCTCCTAACTCCACCAGTACACCTGGCAGACTCACCATGACTTCCAAGTAACTTTGGGCTTTATTCCTAAGGACTCATAGGTCCAATAGTTTGAGGTACCTACACAAGCAAGCTTGATTCTGGTAGTGCTACTACTAACTTCTTAAGTCAGAGCTGAGTTTGCTGTCTTGTGATCAGGAAGAATGATGAATGTTTGAGATCTTGTCTCAAAACACAAAACAAAGCAAAAAACCAACTTGGCAGTCGGTGGTAGGTGAATCCACTCTTACAGCAGTTATGTTTGGAATTCGCAATACATTATCTTTTCTCTGACCTTGGTGTAATAAGTCCACTGCCCTGAATAGTTTCCTCAAGAGCAAACATTCAGAGCCATCATCCTTGCTCTCCCTCATGCTCTCTGGGAGTTGGAGGTGCATGCATTACTTCAAGGTGTGCCGCTGTCTCATGTCATAAAGATGAGAAGTTTCTTGGTTTAACGAGTGTTAATGGACAAGGCCCGATGAAGACTCACTCTGACTACCTCTTCGCCACCACAGATTCTTTTCATTAGCACACTTCAGCCTTGGAAAGTCTTCCGATTTTGTTTTGTAGACTCTGACTTCAGCTCACATTGGACCTTCTTCTCCATTGCAATAGTAATCCTCAAATTAAACCTGTCCCCATTACATTGATGTCCTCCTTGTTGACCTACAGCAGTAATCAAATGATGGAAATCGAACAATTTCCAAACTGTACCGATTTGATCACTTTGGGTTAACCTGTGAATTGGAAGAGAGAAAGAGAAATTTCCAGACATTTAGCTTTATATTTCAGTCTTAGACTGTCCCTAAACTAGTACTTGCATTGTATGTGTCCAAAAGAACAAGGCCAGTGCAGCAGAAAGAAATTCCAAACCTTAAAGACAGAGGAGACTTTGTTCCAATTTCTTGTTCTAGCTTTAAAATTCCCATTGTCTGGGTATCCATGTCTTTTTCTCCTCATTTGAAGATTGTAGAACTAACACATGCTTGCATAGAATTATTAGAGCTCTGAGATTAAATGAGAAAGCATGTGTGCTGTGTAGTATCTAAGGCAGAGTAACTACCAATAAATACTTACTCCTATCTATTTTTAATCTATGACAAGCTTCAGACAGAATCATTTGCTGTCTGTTGCTGGAGTAATGTGCTTTTGATACTTGCCTGTGGTTTCCTCCATTAGTCAATGAATTTCTTTGTGGATAACCTTTCTGCAAGCATTGCCAGCTCCTCCAGTTGTGAAGCATTTAATATATATTTATGGAATGCACACATACACAGATGTGTGCATGCAAGCAGAATTCTAACAAGCCAATGGTGAACACAAGATACCAAAACTGCTTAACAGTTTACATAGGCCACACCAATTAATCATAACAACTCATGGAGAGTGCGACTAAAGCCTCTTAAGACACCAATCTATGTATCAGTGGTAGAATTGATCTGGGACAACAACCATGTGCTATACAACATTTCGTCTTTCTTCAGAATTTACAGCCTCAAAAACAGGATCTAGAGGCAAAAAATGGGAAATTACTCCAATGTGGTTTTCATTTCCTGCTTTGGGCACTGGCTAGACTACTTAAGCTGAACTCCATAAACCTCAGCAAAGAGCTGTTTCAGAGTTTGGTTTAGAGAGCCTTACCTTGGCAGTTATTTCTTTGCAAGGAACATTCAAGTTCTCTGCCAATCCAAGGCCCTCTGAAACAATGGAATATCATTCTCATCTAGAGAATCTGGATGAAGATGGATATACTCAATTAGACTTCAGGACTCAAGGCATCCACAAAAGACCTGTAGGATCAGAGAAAGGTAATCATTTTCTTTCTACTAATAGAACCTTCATTTTTATCAACAAAAGCAGAGACCTGGAGAGTCTGTTGATTTGTAGAACTTCCTACTGGTATATATATATTGGCATATAGTTTTAAAGGCTGCTGGAAGTCATCACAGATCCCTTGGATGTCCATCAAATTTCTTTTCCTGGAAACTACTCAACAACTTCCATAGACTGCTTTTGATTTGCAGCAGGAAACAGGACTACTCCGCTCTAGAGTCACAGATGCTTTATCTGGGAGGTGGGGCTGGTAACAAATGAGTGGTAGACAAAGATGAACGAATTTTAGTGAGTTGCTTCTTGCTTGTCTCATAGTAAGTTGTAAGTTGACTAGGAAACTTAAAATAGTGTAAATGAACCTACACAATATTACAATATATAGTGCCAAAGGGTTGGGAGATGAAATCATAGAGGATTGCATAGCAAATAAAAATGAATACATCTTTGGTTAAACCCAAAGAGTAGCCAGGAGTCACAGAGTTTTAAATACCAAATCTGATAAACTTTGGTGAGGAGAGACTAGTTTGAATTTTTAAAAACTAGTTGTTGGTATATCAGTGACAGAAAACACATGCTAGATAAAAAATGTCCCATTAGCAGGAGATAGATCTTAAAATGGAAACAGTACAAGATATACAGGATGTTAAAGGATCTCTCTCCTCGTAGGGTGAGTGTTTTACTCTCTTTCTGAGTCTCCTATTGGGCATCTCTGCTGCTTGGGCTTCTGCTCTTGGTGTGGTAAGCTTAATACAAAATCAGTTCACTGTGATCATCAAAGAAGTGATGACTCACAGGTCCCGACATCACAATTTGCTTTCTTCTGCTTTTTGGTGTTCACATTATGCAATTATTTTCCTCTTATAACCACTTACACAATTCCTTTCTTGTGCAATTTGCTTGGAAAATGGTAGAAATTTTGAGTGAAGGATGGGATGTGCTCACAATTGCTGCAAGGGGCGCTTCTGTGCATTTTAGATCACTTACTTCAACAACAGTATTCGAAGTTGCTACTGACCCAGTTTCACTAATGTAAACAAACAATTAGAAAGAAGGGGATGGAGAAAATAATTTGTCCAAATAGTGCACCAAATAAATGACACAGGAAAGTTACCCTTAATAGTTGATTCTATTTCTCCTACAAAAAGCTGTTCACTCTATGAACAAGTAGGATTTCAGGGAATGAGTAACATCCAGGCCTATAGAATTGTATGTGAACCTGGATTTGAGGAGTGTACAGACAGAAGGCATAGTCTGGTGTCACTGAGTTTTAAATCCCAGATCTATTATACTTTAGTGGGAAGAGATTAACTTGAATTTTTTTTTAATTTTTTTTTTAGTTTTTGGAGACAGTGTTTCTCTGTGTAGCTTTGGTGTCTATCCTGGATCTCGCTCTGTAGACCAGGCTGGCTGTGAACTCACAGAGATCCACCCAGCTCTGCCTCCTGATTGCTGGGATTACAGGCGTGTGCCACCACCACCCAGTTTTAATTGAATTTTTAAAAACTAGTTGTTGGTATATTAGTGATGGAAAACATATGCTAGATGAAAATGTCCCATTAGCAGGAGATAGATCTTAAAATAGAAACAGTATATGATATACAGGATGCTAAAGGATGATAACACAACTGAAGAAGAGACATCCTGAAGTTAGGGGACAATGGAGACTCATACTACAAGACTAGACTCTAGTGGCTGGTGATCCCTTTAGAACTATCCCCATTTCAGTGTGCTAAGCAATTAAAGGGCTCCACAGACTTTCCTTATTTTCTTTCTCATCTCTCCGGCTTTTAGGAAGTCAGGTTCCATCTCCTCCTTGGCGTCTCATTGTGGTGGCTTTGGGAATCCTGTGCTTGGTCGCAGTAGTGGTTGCTGCAGTCCTGGGTGTCCTAGGTGAGTATAGATGAAGGAGATTAATGACAGTCAAAGACAATTAATCTGTACATTAATCCCACTGAGTTCCTGCTATTAATTTCCATTTCACTTATAGGGGAATGGAGAGAATGGAAGGTTGACTATTCCATCATTATAAATTAGTGGTGGGATCATGAGTAGAAACATAGATAATCTGCTTAATAAAACATATATTCTTAGCTATATTGCTCTACTAGTCCACATGGATAGCTTAATTTTTTAAAAAGAGGAATTTAAAGGATAAGTTAGTGGAGGGGAACTTACAGAACTGGAGAAGGAAACACAACATGCTGTCATCTTCCCTAGGACATGGCTTTATCAAAGAAGTTGTGTGTAATTTTGTGAGCCTTGTGATTCTTGGAAATTATCTTACACACAATCTTAATAAAAAATTTTTTGACTCTATCAACTATTGCCTGAGGCACTTAAAAGCACTAAGCAGATATTTTGTGAAGGATGAATAGATCTCTTTAGATTTTTATGTCTCTTGAATCCTGTGTCAATACAGTTGTATGATACCTTCAGAGAGTCTTCATCGCTCATAATTAGTCAAATGATTATTTAGTACAAAAATATTCTATGTATTACATGCTGGGTAATTCACAAAGAGCTGTACTTTTTAAATAATAGAAGAAAGCAAGTGGAGTATTATTGTCATTGAATTATTATTATTTCAAGTCTTTTATAATTGCAGTTAGATCTATGTTATTTTCTTCTTGCTACCTTCTTCACAGAAGTTACTTATTCCTTTCCATATATTTGATGGGTTGTCCATGTATCAAATATCAGACTCTGTCTTTATATCAGTAATATATCATTGATTTATCATTAATCATAGATAATCCCTATGAGATTTCATAAAATATGGGTGCTAGAATTTCAGTTTTCAAACACAACAGAATGACTTTCTTTTTTTCTGTCACTATTATTGTTTGTGAAATATGAAGCATTTTGGAGATTCAATTCAGGGAGAAATCCAGAGGAGAAAGAAAACTTCCCGTCAAGAAATAAAGAGAACCACAAACCCACAAAATCATCTTTAGATGAGAAGGTGGCTCCCTCCAAGGCATCCCAGACTACAGGCAAGGGCAGAACTAATGGAGCAATGGAATCCTGGATTCCAGAGGTTCATTTCCTGGTGCTGAGGCATGGGGTGGGGGATATGTTTACATCTAATAACAATGTATTTGAAGCAAACATGCCTAACAGTATTTCCTTAGCATAATACATCCTGTCAGACACCTGATAAAGTGATATAACAAGTATACTTTGCAAAAAGAATCAGTAACTGCTTTTGTCTCTGGCTGTGTGTCAAGACCTACCGGATATGATTTAATTTTATGAAAAGGAAAAGGCAGTGTTCAGTGCCTGTAGGAACTGGTACTTTTACAGTGATATTGTTAGAACAAGATAGACGTAAGGGAAAAAGAATGTCAGGGGAAAAGTGAGGAAGGGACACTGAAGACAGGAGTGTAAACACTAATAAGAACATGCAGAAGAAATGGACCTGAGGCATACATCCCTGAAAGCTCTGGTCAAATGTATTCAAATGCCCATGTTTCTGATTGGATCATAATTGACTGACAATATTTTCCCTTCAGTATTCCATCTCTGGACTTACCTACCACTATTTTTAGTTAATGAAATAAAGAAAAGAGTTTTTGAAATACAAATAATTACATTTATGCTCTCCATAAGATGAATTAAGTGAACTAAAGCTACTATGTATAGCAATTGATTTTGAGTGTGTTTGCTTTGGGGAGGAGCAGTAGAGAAAATGAACCTGGGACTAAATTTGAAGTAATGGAAGAGATAACTAGCTGTCTATTTAAACACTGTAATTACTCAACTGATTTTAAACTTAATTTTTTTATGTGTATGAATGTTCTGCTTTCATGTATGTTTGTGTACCACTTGAATGCCTGGTGCCCTCAGAGGCCCGAAGAGTGTGTCAGATCTACTGGAACTGAAGTTGTAAATGATTGTGAAGTGTCATGGGGGTGCTAAGAATCAAACTCAGGTCCTCTGAAAGAGCAGCCAATGTTCTTAACCACTGAACCAACACTTCAGCCCCTAATTTTAATTTTTTTTTTGGTGAACAAAGGGATTTTAATATATTCTGTAAAAATATTCTCTAATTTGAGTCAGAAATGAAATATGTGTTAATGAAATATATGCTAATAAAAACTCATTATCAGGTATTTGTGAAAATGCACTAAATAATTAGAATTGGTTGGTACACTGTGGACTTCATGATGTTATCTTTTCTTTCCAGGACTTTTTCCTGGGCCTTGCCCCCCTAATTGGATCATACATGAAAAGAGCTGTTATCTATTTAAGATGTCAATAGATTCCTGGGCTGGAAGTAGGAGACACTGCTCCCAGATTGGTGCTCATCTACTGAAGATAGACAACTCAAAAGAATTTGTAAGCATAAACTTCTGCTATAATTAACTGTGGGGAACATAGGTTCAGCAGAGCAAGGAGATTCTTGGACTAACAATGTTAACATCAATGTTCTATGTAACTACAAAATTATGCAATAGGCATGTAAAGCACATAATATATTACTTTATTTTTAATTAATTAATTTGAAAGGGGATCAAATTTTACTTTAAAATAAACAATTTCAGGCCTTGCAAAGTGGCACTTGCCACCAAACTTGACCTGAGTTTGGTCTCCAGAGCTCATATAATGGAAGGGGAAAAAAGACTTCCACAAATTGACCTCTGACCTCCATATGAGCGCTGTGGCACACCACACAACACAAATGCACAAAACAAATAAGTAAACATAAAAATGTTAAAACAAATAAGTTAAAACAAACTTTATGATTGTTTGAATATAGTGGTAAGGGCTCTTAATTTTTGTATATTTGTACTTCAATTTTCAAAGTTGAAGTACAGGAGAAAAATTGTCCACTTGTCATTTTAATTATCAAGAAAGAAATCCTACATTTATGAATTGTTTGTTCTTTGCAGAATACTAAGAAAGGCGAAGAGATGATTTTTTTGTTTTTTGTTTTTAATTTGGGGACATGGTTTCCATCTTAGCCCAGACAGACCTAGAACTCACTTGTGGCCAAGATTGAACTCAAATTCCTTCTAAGTGGCAAAGAGGTTTAAAAACTAACTTTTCTATATGTAGTTGAAAAGAGAAACAACAATTGTTAATAGTTGAACATCATATATTAATAACAGATAACCTGAGAGTTGAGAGGTGTTCCCATTAACAAGAAATTTTGTAGAAACAGGAGGACTTACCATGTGTGTTGTAGAAACAGGAGAAGACTTACCATCCATGCTGATGCAAGAGTTTGATTCAAATGATCTGTGAGAAGGTAGCAATGGAAAGCATCCCACAATATAGTCCTAATCTGTACACTCTATCTTCACTGCTCCATTTTATTGGTCTGTAATGCTATACGCAATAGCTGTAGCTCTTGTTAAAGTTAACAAAAGCGGGAATATAGCCAAGGAAGAGAATCATGCTAGAAACCCACATGGCTTCTGATACAAACCTGTAGTTGGCAAAGGATCATCTAATTTTTTGTGACCAATTCAAGTCTTCATTGAAACCTGGATTATTTATTCATAAAACATGCACTGCAGTGCTGGGCATGCAGATTGGTGGTAGAGTGCTTACCTGGCACCTGCCAGGCTCTGGGTCTCACCCTCAGCATTGTGTTTCTTGGCAAAGCTAGTATGAGTTTGTATTTGCCACTTGTGCAAAAACTAATGGCTTATTTCCTATGAAATTGCCAGGGAGCTGGACTCACTGGATTTTGTAAAGTTTGTTGAATGGTGCAGAATATTAATATAATAAGCCTATTTTGCCCCTTTGACTTGTATGAGTGTGTGTGTGTGTGTGTGTGTGTGTGTGTGTGTGTGTGTGTGTGTGATGTATGTGTATGTGTGTGTGCATATGTGTGTATGTATGCATGTAACACAAATCTTAAGAGGTCTTAAAAATAAAAAACCCAGGCTGGGCAGCAGTGGCACACGCCTTTAATCCCAGCATGTGGGAGGCAGAGCCAGGTGGATCTCTGTGGTGGTATTGTGTTCCCCAAAATATTGTGCACCCTAATAAACTTATCTGGGGTCAGAGAACGGAACAGCCACTAGATACAGAAGCTAGAAAATGGTGGCACTTACACCTTTAATCCTAGCCTTCTGGAGGCATGGATCTCTGTGAGTTCAAGGCCACAATGGAAACAGCCAGGCATGGTGACTCACGCCTTTAATTCCAAGAAGTGAGACTTTAATCCCAGGGAGTGATGGTAGAAAGCAGAAAGGTATATAAGGCGTGAAGACCAGGAACTAGAAGCATTTGGCTGGTTAAGCATTCAGGCTTTTGAGCAGCAGTTCAGCTGAGATTCATTCTGGATGAGGACTCAGAGGCTTTCAGTCTGAAGAAATAGAACCAGCTGAGGAACTGGCAAGGTGAGGTAGCTGTTGCTTGTTCTACTTCTCTGATCTTCCAGTATTCACCCCAATACCTAGCTCCAGGTTTGATTTTATTAATAAAACTCTTTAAGATTCATGCTACAGATCTCTGTGAGTTCGAGGCCAGCCTGGTCTACAGTGCAAGATCCAGGACAGGCTCCAAAACTACACAGAGAAACCCTGTCTCAAAAAAAATAAAAAATAAAAATAAGAATAAAAAATAAAAAAAAACCCAGAGCCAGGTATTGGGGTAAAAGGTGAAAGATCAGAGAACAGAACAAGCCACAGCCAATCTCACCTCGCCAACTCCTCAGCTAATCTTCTGACTGAGAGCCTCTGAGTCCTCACCCAGAAGGGTCTCAGCTGAACTGCTTAAAAGCTTCTAGTTCCTGGTCATCATGCCTTATATACCTTTCTGCTTCCTGCCATGACTTACTGGGATTAAAAGTGTGTATCCTTTCCAAACAAAGACATGAGATCTCAAGTACTGAGATTAAAGGTGTGTGCTACCACTGACTGGCCTCTATGTCTAATATAGTGGCTGTTCCATCCTCTGACCCTAATAAGTTTTATTAGGGTACACAATATATTGGGGGACACAATATATCACCACATATGCAAAGCATTTGTGTGCATATGTGTTTGTATTGGTATGTGGTGTGTGTGTGTGCGTGTGTGTGTGTGTGTGTGTGTGTGTGTGTGTGTGTGTGTGTGTGTGTGAGATATGTGTATGTGTGTGTGCATATGTGTCTATGTGCTGCAAGCCACAGGAAAATGTAGTGGAGTTCAACTACTATCAAAAAGCTACTACTTGGAAAAGTCAAGGACTTCTCCAAAAGTCAAGCCATGGCTTAAGAAGTCTTGGTGATATTTTAGCTTTTGTATATATATTAGCTGGTTCCTACAGTGATTTTCTTATAATGCTTTGCTTGCTTCCAAGAACTCCTAATGGTGTATTTATCTAAAATATCTATCAAGCATCCAAGGCCAAATGAAATAACACCTGTCTCCTAGGTCAGGAAGATAGCTTTATTTCTTGTGCAGTTTAGGGTGAGACCCTCCTTCCTTACAGTCTTACTAATAGAGTTCTAATTTCTTACCTAACCACTTCTAGGAATGTAGATTGAGCACATAAATCCTCTTCTTGACTAACCCATCATTGTAAAAGAAAGCCTGACAGCCACAGCCTGAGAAAAACTCTTACCGACCTTTATGACCCTTGTAAGAATTCAAGCTTGGTGACCTTGCTCTGGCAGAGGATCGCTATTGCTTGGGTTTATAACTGAACACCTCAGAGACTGAGGGGATCTGAGGTACAAGGAGAATGAAGAGAGAATATTGATGATTTTGACTGGAGAGGATTTTTGACTAGAGAACTGGAGGACAGGATGTAAGATGAGGAAGAGCCAGACACGAAAGTATTAGATGGGTAAGAAACAGATGAGAAGGACCTAGATGAGGCAGAATTAAGATGAGAAAAGTAAGATAGAACTTAGAGGAAACAACAGATAAAGGTAGAGACAAATCAGGCAAGAAAGGAACTAGGCTTGAATACAGAACTGAAGCTGTATAGATAGGATTTTATTCCAGAGAAATAAAGTAGATGGACAAAGAGCTTGGTGTACTTAGATTTATTTCCCAAAAATAAATCTCGCTGTTTGTAGTTTCTTTTCTGAGCCCCCAGGAAGTATATTTTTAAGGCTGGTCCTTTTTTTTTTTTTTTTTTTTTTTTTTTTTTTTTTTTTTTTTTTTTTTGGTTTTTCGAGACAGGGTTTCTCTGTGTAGCTTTGCGCCTTTCCTTTAATAATATACAAGATGTATGTATGCCCATGCATGTGTGTGCATATGTGTTTGTGTGGGTATGTGTGTGTGTGTGTGTGTGTGTGTGTGTGTGTGTGTGTGTGTGTGTGTGTGTACTGAACCTGGAGAGCTAGGATCACAACCAGCTAGCCTCAGGATTCTCCTGTCTTCATCCCCTACAGTACAAGGATTCACAGCATGCATAAATACACCTGATTTTTACGTGGATTTTGGGAATTCAAACCCAGGTCCTTGTGTGTTTTCAGCAAATACTCTTACCCACTGAACCATCTCCTTAGCCCACTTTTTTTTTGGTGGTGTGGGGAAGAGGGGTTTGAGACAGGGTTTCTCTGTAGCTTTGGAGCCTGCCCTGGAACTCACTCTGTAGACCAAGCGGGCCTCAAACTCACAGAGATCCTGTAAGATCTTGGCTCTGCCTCCCGCGTGGTGGGATTAAAGGAGTGCAAGACCACCACCCAACCTTGGTCCAGATTCTCTACTAACATTATGAATCTATGCTTTATCAGAAAATTGACAGTGGCTCTAAAATGAGAAAGTATAATGCTCTAGACATTCAATGATATTCAAAGACTGACAGTCCTCTCTAGATTGTCATCTTATACATTACATCCTTCTTTAAAGGGATTCATTGTCTCTGAAGGCCTGTAGCATTGTCTTGGGTTCCCCCTGATGCGTGTGTGTATTTTTGTTTTACTGCAGGAGTTCATCGAAAGCCAAACATCTTCTCACCGTGTGAATTCATTTTGGATAGGCCTTTCCCGTAGACAGACTGAAGGGCCGTGGCTCTGGGAGGATGGCTCACCATTCGTTCCCAACTCGTAAGTTCCTATAGAGGCACATGGAAGTCTGCCAGGCAATCAAGAACCTACTTGCTTGGTCACACATGAGAAAAAGGACAAGTCATGGTGGAGGGACAAGGAAAAAGGGAGATAGGAATGGAAAGAAAGGGTAGAAGAAGGTTGTAGGGGATGGTCACCCGGTGCTGCCAACTCAGGAGTTCCCTGATCCAGGTGAGGAAAGGTGCTGCTGCTGACTGCAGCCTTGTGACTAAGAGCATTCATGGGCTTCGAAGTCAGACCCCACTCTCAGGTAACGATTAACTTACTCACCAGACATGTGACATTAGACAAATCTGTGTACTTCTTTGAGTGCCACTTTCTTTTTTCAAAACTGGGGATGGAAAGAGTAGCTCTCCCTTAGAATGGTGACACACAGGGCGTAAAAGTAAAATCATTAGCATAAGTGTTTTGCACACAGCCAGTGTGAAATGACATACCTTATGATGTAATTTTAAACATATCTTACTTATATTTGTATTATTACAAATAGTTCCTCCTTGTGTACTAAAGTCTTTGCAATTTCTATTCATCTTTATCTTTTTCTTAATATTTGTAAATATAAAATTATAGCCCCTTCCAATGTCTATGCATGCATTTTCCCATTAATATTAGTATATATTTAATTCAACTTAATTAATTTTTTAAAAAGATATTTTGATTTTACTGATGTCCCCTTTTCTCTTTTATCACTTCTTTGGTTAATGTCAGTTCTCATATTTATTATTGCCTTCCATCTAATTTTTTGTGCCAAATTGAATTCTCTAATTTCTTATATTGGATGCTTAACTCCTTATCTGGAGTCTTTTTTTTTTTTTTTGCTTTGTGGTCATTTGGTTCACGATGCTTTCTGATTTCCATTGTTAGTTGTCCTTTGATCCACGAGTTACTTAGAAATAAATGTCTCAATTTACAAACATACCTGTGCTTCCAACATTCCTACTTGTCCTTTAGACTTCAGGCTTAGTTCCTCTGTGATCAGAGAACAAACTTCATGTGACAGCAATTCCCTCTTCCAGGGCAGGGATTTGTACTGGAAACACCCACATGGGTCCTCCTATATTTCTTTAAGAATTTCACTTGACATTTTGAAGCCTTATTAATAGGCATATGTAGATGTAAAATTGTTGCATCTTCCTCTTAGGTCTTGCCTTCCTTCTCTGCCTTCTTTTTTTCTTCCCCCCTCCCTCTCTTCCTCCCTCCTTGCTTCTTCCTCCTTCTTTCCCTCCCTTCTCTCTCTTTCTTTTCTTCTTTCTTTATTTCTTCTTATTGTACTTATTTTTATGTTTATTTCCTTGTGTTTATTTCTCATAATTTTCCAGTTTACTTTTTTTTTGTCACTTGTAGCTCACTTTAAATTTTGTTGTCTATAATTAGCTTGGTTCTTTTACAAATCAACTCCTGTCAACAATTTGCAAGTCCTATTTTGCTTACAATATCCTCAGTGCTGTCTATTAACTCCTAGAATCCACAGTTGTTTTAAGGTCTGTACCTGCTAACTCCACGTGCGTTTTATTTTTCTCCTCTGCTTCATTCACGCTGGTTTGTTTTCTTAAATACCTAATTGTGTTTGACAAGTGCTTATTAACATTGCCTCTTGAACTGTTTAGGGTTTCTTGTATCAATTTGAAGCTCACAGAGTAGTATTTAATCTGCTTCCTGTAGGCATTGGTGAGAATGAAAAGCCCCTCCACCCCCCAGTACCACATCAATAGTGCTCAGCAACCTCACGTCTACTAATTCAAGCCAAATGAATTCATCAATAATCCACAAAACATACTTCTTCCTCTTTTTCATCATTTATTAATCTTGATTTTGCAATTGGTTTTCCAACTGCAACCATGAAATTAGATGATTCTTTGTAAATTCACAAAATGGGCTTAACATTTTAAAATGTTAGTACTCCTTGGATTACAGCATGACAGTAACTTAATCTGTGATCCTAAACCACCTGAATGTCAGGGAAATTTTCGCAAAATACTGGTTAAAATTCTCCCCAAGGCCTGGGTCAAGGTGGTTGATCCTAGCCTCCATCATTTCTAGAGCATGTTTTGTCAGTTTACCAACCCCAGGGTCAAGAAGAGGCAGCCATTCAAGGTAAAAAGTTCACCAGGTGGAGACTTTTGTACTATGGCCCAATGATGTTCCTTGAGTGTGACTAATTGTCATGGCTCTTTATTTTATGCAATTATTAGTAGTAGCATTTCTTAGGGGAAAATCATTTTCTTACCTTAATTATAAAGACAAGTCTATTACCATTTAGGTATAATACAATCTAAATTAAAGATTCCCTTTCTAATAATTTAGATGCCTCAAAACTGTTTTTTACCAATGTCCTTAAAATTTCTGGCTCCATTAAATGTCTCCCTAGGTCTCTGATTGTTTTAATTGCCTCATTGTGTTTTCTTTTAACAGGTTTCAAGTCAGAGATACAGCTTCCCAGGAAAGCTTACTGCACAATTGTGTATGGATTCACGGGTCAGAGGTCTACAATCAAATCTGTAATATTTCCTCATTCAGTATCTGTGAGAAGCAGCTGTAAATGTAAGGATGAAGATGAAGAATCGATAAGCATGTCAGACTGTAAGGGTGGAACACACACATACCACCAACAACAACAACAGCAACAGAACAGGAAAGATGAATATTGAAAATCAGAGTAAATGCAGAAATGCTAGAAGACCTTGTTAAATTTTAACTTCAACTGAGAACATGGATGAAGAAGGTGAGACTTCTGTTCTTGTCAGCTTCATAAAGAGAGTAGTGTTACCTTCCAGTTAGTAAGCCACTAGACATGGAGTGAAGACACTAAGAAATACAGAGAATAAGTGAACATGAGGTTCCCAGACCCAAATGGTACAATTGCAACAAAGCCCCCATACCTGTCAGGGAATATTGCTGTAGAGGGGCCAGGGGGCTGAAGTCTGTAAGAGCCAGAGGACCAGGATGCCTACTGCTAGTGTCTTCTAGACAGGACAGGGAAACTCTATCCCCAAAATATCAACAATATGCTCCATTAAACAAGACCTGAATGATGACAACTTTAGTTGGTATGCCAACCTGGATGTAGGCATTTCACAAGGTCCCATCTCCCACATAAAGAACTACATGTGATCAATGATGCTGAAAGAGGAAGAAGATCTTTTTCTAGGAACAAGCTTCCTGATTGATGGGTTACTGAACCCCAAGCAGTCAGCACTAAACACATGCACAGACCAGTAACACTAAATGGACTAGCAGGAGATATACATATATATGTATGTATGTATGTATATGAATGTTACTCAGAAATTGTTACTGGAGTGTACATTGTGCTTGTGTGATTTGCTCAGTGTCTAGCAAGGCAAAATGTACTTCTAAACTGATAGGTAAAGAAATGAGGGAAGAAAATCTTCACTACAAATAAAGCTGTTAGTTTCATCCACATGATTGTGATTAAAATGATGATCACTGAAAAGCAGTGACCCCAACTTCTTCCTCAACTAGATAACCCAAAGAGTCTTTCCATATCTCTGATAGCAGAACCTGATGTAACATGAAATCACAGAGGTGCTTCATTTACAGAAAGCCTTCTCCTTAAATATTATATTTTGAAAGATAAATTGGATGTGATAGTGAATATTTAAAAAGCATCCACTTAGGATTAGTGTTTTGGAGCACAGAACATGTTTTGTCTTTTTTTATGATTTAGTATTTTGCAGTGCACAATTGATTCTTTAGTCATTTCTTTACAAAAGTATGATTGGAATTTGACTATGTTTCCTGGTGGGATCTGTCCTGTTAGCTTCTAAGCTTCTCCATTAGCACCACTCACATTTCCAGTGTGGATTTCCAAGTTGCTGGAGAGCCATTTGTAGCTTCCTCAGGCTGATTAATATGTGGGCAGAAATTGTGCTAAGTCCACTGAATCGTTCACTTGAAAATGATTAATTTTCTGTAACTTTCACCTCAATTGAAAAACTGCTTATTCAAGTATGTTTGGCCTCTGAACAACCTGCCTACGTGTAGCAATCACTAACATAATTTGCCTTCTTCCCAAAATGGTTGATTAATTTGATACTAGGTAGGGGATATTTCTACATTGGAGCATAAATTTGTGTTCTTGAAGATTTTGAAAAGTCTGAGGAAAACGTACAGTTTTGTGAAGCTTGCACTCATTTTTTAATATTCAAATTTGAATTCTCGAAGTCTGAAAATACTGAAGAGGGGACAGAGGTAAATCTGAGAGGAGACAGAGATAAATCTGAGAGAAGTGTTATTAACTAGCTCAAGTAGTTAGTTAAAGTACAGGATGAGATTTAGAGAAGACTTGAGTGTTGTGTATGTGCACACATGAGCTCATGTGTGTACGTGTGTATGCTCACCTGTGCACACTTGGAGATCAGAAGTTGACATCCGGTGTCATGCACTATCACTCCCCACCATCTTCTTTGTTGGGATGTGATCTTACTGTCTCCTTATGCTGACTGACCAACCAGTTCCCAGATCCACCTGTCTCTCCCTCACCCAGCTCTGGAGTTGCAAATGTGGGCTACTATAAATGGCTTCTATGTGAATAGTGAGAATCAAAATCGGATTCTCAAGCTTACACAGCATCTACTGAGCCACCTCCTCAGCCTAATGTGCAAATATTTTAACTTTCGTTTCCATTTGACTCTTTCTGGGTACCTAGAATTGGACAGGGAAGTTCAAGAAACTATCAACATTAAAGAAAATAAATCTGGATGCTGAAATCAAGATTTTCTTACTAGGATCAGGCAGTTGAGAAATCCCCCAGTGTGTATGTAAAGGATCAAGTAGAACCAGAGTTATGATAGAAAGGAAACTGCTCCGGCTGGTCCAGGGTATACTATTACCTGGCATACTGACAGACTGTTTACATGAGAACTTACTATTAATGCACATATGAACAGAAACACACATATTTGTCTAAGGGACAGAGATGGGATAACAGCTGCTAGCTGAACTCAAGTCTGAAGGATGAATTCCAGATAGTTAAATTTGAAGAAACATCTACAGAGGGACTCCTGCATTCATTTGCCTTGGACACCACAATAATTTGGGCAGTTGTCCCTAATCTTTGTCTTTATCCCCCTACAATGTGTTTCAAACTTAGCCGAGTAGGTTTGTTAGACCGCTGCAGTGGATGAGCGAGCTGGGGGCAGTGCTGCAGAGCTCACACCGGTGACAATGGTGAGGGAAAGCTGGCAGGCTGACCAACCCAGCTACCACCCAGACTCAGAACCAGGGCTATGAGTTGGCCCACCCCAATATCCACCTCATCGATGAACTGCTGGAGCATGGAAGGAGCTGGACCTGAAGATCTAAAGCTCCAGGATCTCCATGACACAAGGCAACAACAGTATATCCAAGAGGAGTCCCAGTGAGGGCTCAGTACCAAGAGTGTGGCAGAAAGGCAGAGGCCTCGAACCAGAACAATGACTCATAGCAAAGAACACTTACATGGAAAGATGTATGGACGAAAGGGTATATATATACTGTGTGATTCACTGTGTCACAGTACAGCTTCCATGACGAGACTTTGTTTGTTTTTGTTTTTTTGTTTTTCCCTTAAAATTTATTTTATTTGGCAAGGGGGAGGTTGCAAGGGCAGAGGATGGAGATGAATGGGATTGGGATGCATAATATGAAATCCAAAAGAATATATAAAAGGTTTTTTTTTAATTAAAATATAGTCATGTCATGTCTCTACTAAAAGCTCTCATTGGTTCAGAGTAACAACAAAATGTCATAGCAAAAATAGCCTCTTTAATTGTCTTTGAGACCTCATATGTTTTAAGTTCCTTCATCCTTTGAGATATCTCTGGCATCTGTACTTCTCCAGTCAGGTTGCTGGCTTCTCTGTGGTGTCTCAGCCCCATTTGCATGTTTCCACCTCAATCTTTGTGATTTCCCTGTCCTCTTTGAGTGAGCCTCACTGAGATGGCTGCAGAGCCTTCTGTCTGATTTCCCAAGTCTGCACACATATCACCTCTGAAGTGAGTGAGGCATCCTCTGGTTACTCTATTTCAAATCATCAGCCTTCTTCCATTACCTTCCTTGAGCTCCTTGGTTCTTTATATATTTGCCTCAACATTTATAGTAGTTGAATTTTCCCCATAGGACATAAGCTTTAAAAGAGCCAGGGGCTTTTGTATCCAAAAGACTCTGTACCTACAGCATAGCATGCTTAAAAAATAATGTCGTTGTTGTTGAAATACTTAAGGAACATAATACAAAGGTCAAAAATTAGCAAGGATCTACTTGAGTAACTGCAACTTGACAGACAGTGCTGGTTACTGCTTTATCGTTTCATGAGAAACATAATTCGTAGACTCTCCTCTTATTTTCCTGATCTATTTGTAATTTCTCTCCTCCTCTCACACATCCCTCACCCTTGCCTCCCTCTTCCCACTGCTCATTCTCTCCTCCTTCCTTCTTTCCTTCCTTCCTCCCCCACCCCCGTCCTTTTATTCTTTCTTTCTTTTGCTCCTTCTTTCCTTCTTTCTTCTTTCTACATTTCACAGAGTCTTCCTATAAGTCCAGGCTGACTTTGAACTTGTGACCCTCCTGCTCAGCCCCGTGAATGCTGGGGTTACAGATGTGAACTACCATAGCTACTCTGTAATTTTTAACATTCTAGCTTCTTAATACTTCATCTCTTCTGCAGTTCACATAACAAACTTCAGAATTCTTACTGCCTCCTTCTCTCTAGAGCATTCAAATATTCAACCTGATGCAAAGGAACAGACTTTTTTTTTAACCTTTGACTTTTTAACAAGTCATTATTTAATAAAGTGTTCCCATTTTTAGTCATCTTAAATTTATAATAATAGGGTGAACAACATACAGCTTGAAATACATGTGAATTCACAATCTGTAGTTTCTGATGGTCTCTTATACGATCTGGCTGACTTAACTCTGTTTCAACACTGACTGGTATTTAGTGTGCTTATCTTACCCCGTCTCTCTCTCTCTCTCTCTCTCTCTCTCACACACACACACACACACACACACACACACACACACACACACACACACATATTTATATATATAAAATGTTTACTGGCCTGACATCACTCCTTCCACCATATGATGGCCACAGTATAGCCCTTAGTGGATGCATCCCTCATCTCACCACTGAATTTTCCAGCACCTTGATCTTGAACCAGAATATGAGAAATTATTTTTTATTGTGTATGCATTATCTGGTTTTCTGTTGTTGCCACACAAAAACTAGACAAGTAAAAGAATTAAACTAGACTGGTTCAGGAGGAGCTGCTGGACATTGTCTGAGACAATTTTCTCATTTCTTGTCTTGACTTAACAAGTGTAGGCACACATTGCTAGTTGTCTTCCCAAAACTGCACAGTGGTTGGTAATGATGCTGTAAGTTTGGGACTGCTACTATAGCATGGGATTGCTCATGATCACAATGTGTCTGATGTGTTATAAAATGTTAAATCAAGTCCAGATACTGTAAGAAGAAAGAGGGTGAAGTTGACAACAGGAGAGAACTTTCAGAGCTAACCTGACTCTAAGCAGCTTTGTGACTTTTAAAGAAATCACTTCACCTAGATAGCTTTCAATTTCTTTTTGAGTAAAATGAAAGAATCAAATCGATTAGATTCTCTCAGGAGGCCTGCTGCTCGGACTTCCAGTGAGTGATGCTTTGCACTCTGCCCTTGGAGACAGGAAGAGTGTCCTCAATTTCCCCAAAGGTACAGGCGAGTATTCAGCTTGTGATGCATGCTGGGTAAGAAGCTGTGTCCAGCTCTGATTATGCTTTAGTGTCAGAGGACCCTGGGTGCTACTGTGAGAGCTCATCATCCCCACCTTGTAACTGAAAGACTTGTAAACAGACACACACGTGGTCTGAAAAAAAAATGCAGATATTGTAATAACTGTTCAGGGACCGCCCAGCCAGAAAACACATGCGATTTCCCCTCAGCCAGACTAACTTGGCATTCTGAGTACAAGCTCACAGGGGAGGGGCCGGGCCTCTCCATGCAGGAACTGGAGTCAGAGGCTTCCCCTGCAGCCTGCAAGGAGAGACCATTAGGAATGCCTCCCAGTGCCTGGTTTCCTGAGGTATCTGGCGTTAGACACGCGGCCTGGAGCAATCTGAGCACATCTCACCCGCAGCTCTGCAGGAATCAGGATGCAGGCCAAATACAGCAGCACAAGAGACATGCTCGATGACGATGACACCACCGTAAGCCTGTATTCTGGAGCTTCCACAGTCACCAGACGGGCAGAGCCCAGGCACTCAGGTACTTACTCCTGTCTCCTAGAGTCCAAGCAGACCAGAGCCCTGGAGAAAATCTTGGGATGAGGCACTTTTCCTAGGCATAAGCAAGGCAGAGGGAAGAGAGGCAATCTTCCCGTGCTTACAGTGAGGGGTAACTGCACTTTCCACAACTTATCTGCACACATGTAACATTTGAAAATAGAAATACATGCAGGGGTTTGATTCTCTAACATTCTGTCTCTGGTTTAGCAGTTCGCAAGGAGGAGGTATGGATTTTCTGATTAGGTATAGCAGGGAAAGATGAGATTGCATATGTCTTAAAGCAACATCTGTTTCCTTTTCCTTTCGTAGGAAGGCCAATTAGGCCGGCTTGTTGTTGTCCCTGCGGATTATCACCTGTGATGTGATTTGGAAATTTAGGTTAATTAAAAACAACCATATCGGGGGTGGGGGATTGTCAGTTTTGAACTCTTGACTTTAAGGAAGAGATTTCCAAGCAGGCTAATTAATTCGGATATTTGTTAGAATTTCTGCATCTTGAATCTGAAAGACCTTGGAGGAGTCATGTTAGCATCATATATTGGTTTTATCCTCTGTGATATCAAAAGCAGCGGAAGTAAATCCTTCCTAATGCGTCCTCTCAGGTCTGAAATTCAGTGATTTAGTAACCTAATTAGGGAGCTCAGATTCATTTGCATCAAATTCCTAGTCCCCTCAATCCCTTTCTGTTGGTGCTGAGGTTGAACGTAGGGTCTTCCTCATGATAGGCAACAGAATAACACTGAGCTATGCTACAGAATTCCTTTGAATCAATGTGAGACATCTCACTAAGCCACCCACTGGCCTCAAACTTACAGCGTTCCTATCTCTGTCTCCCCAGTAGCTGGATTATAAGCGTGCATTACCATATTCTGCAAACCCCCCTGCTCTATTGATTTCAAAATATTGACATGATTGAATCATATTTAGAAGACATTTGATTTAGCTTATATCTTCCTATTTTCTTACCATAGAGTAGCATTTTCCCATTCCACTCACTTTTACAGTTCACACAAGTAGATGGGGGCCTTACCTGGTTGGTCCACGGCAGACACATGACGTGGTTCTAGAGCAAAAACCCCACTCCATAATACAGATAGATAAAAGCCATATGTTCAGGTTCTGATACCAAGTAGGGTATTCACCACTGCGTGATTTTAGGGTCTTGGGGCTTTGGTTTCATTGCTTGCGAAGCATTGATGTAGGAGGTAGGCATTAATGTATATGCTGTGCCTGGGATTACTTTAAGTACTTTATGCATATCTGTTCATATTAACTTCAGCTAACAGCGAAGAGAAGTAATAAAACTTGTTTACAAGGCATCTAAGAGTATAAAGAATGACCAAGACAGACACTCTAAGAATGTTTCTCTCAACATTCCTCCTTTGCAAATTCCTAGAGTGTTCTGTTCAGCACTTTTATGTCAGTCTCCATCAGCGGCACTTACTCCCTGGCTGTGTCTTCTATACATTTACTTTCCCTTGTGAACAGACCCAGGGTTTATTCACTTCCGTGAATCAGGACACATTTTTGTACTGCTCTCTCTTTTATCAAATAACTGTCAGGATCCCCCCCCACTCTTTCCTCCATAAAGTCATTAATAAACGATTATCGGCCTGAGGCCTACTGGTATGGCTTCTTGCTTTCCACTAAACTACCCAGAGAGCTATTTAAAGGATATTGGGGATTTCCAGCTTCCTTGACCTGGAGCTAAGTGGTTCCAGGAGGGAGGATAGATGCTGCAGGCTGTGGGTGATGCTTCAGACAGGGTTCAAAAGGCCTTCTTCCAGCCAGTCTCATGAACAATCAGCTCACAGGGCTGTGGTTTCAAGAGGGCCGTGTGCGACTTTGTTCTCCACCTCTGCATAAGCAGGAACAGTGTGTACAAAGAAGTACCCAGAGACTAAAGGGTGGAGACAGAGGTGGGGCAAGATGAAGCACTTGGGACAACATTTGGCAGCCTCTTTGTAAGAAGCAGAAATGGAACAGTGGGAGAGAAGGGAAGTGACTCCGAGTCAAACATCTGGAAAAGGTTTCCTCAGCCTGTGTGATATGCTGATTTCATCCTGTGATATGCAAATGTGTAGAGGAATGTCACAAAAAATTTCTTAAGAAAACATATCTGATATACCTCTGCTGTAGAAACCGTATTTCTTTTTTCTGGCAATTTCAGATTCAATAAATATGAGTGGGCATTTTTAAAAACCTTTCCATTTGAACTAACAGGAATAAACACTGCAGGTAGATTTTTCCTTTTTGAGATTTTAATGTTATTCATATAACAATCATGATTGCCTAAAAATAGCAAGCAGTTAAGAAGATAGAAAATCAAAAATAAAAGAAGTAACTGTACACACAATTTCCACAAATTCTGATCAGGTGAGCAAAGGACTGGCTACACAGTGCCAAATACAACAGACCCTCAGCTATGAGCTATCAGCTATGAGGGAAGCTGGTTTTCAACTCAGCTTTATGTATAATAGCATACTATGTTGGAGCATGTGCATGAGACACATGAAAGCCTGGCCATTTATGTCTAGAGGGCTGAAGGAGATCCAGAAAGATCTCGAGAGAGTGGTCATTGCATTGAGTGGATTTTAGGATTTCCTATATTATAAAGAACCAGGAATGGGAATGTCCACACTTGAGGATGCTCCACAAATAAATACTTATGAAAGGAAAATGAGGAGGACTTCAAGAAACTCTGTGTTTTCAGAGAACTGTGTGCAGTAAGTATGGCTGAGGTGCAGAGCTGAGGGACGCTACGGCTGTAAGGAGCAGGTCTGGAGAGCTAAGGAGGGTCTTTCAGGCCATCTGAAGTGTTTTAGTTTTGTTCTGTAGTTAAAATGAAATCAGTGGGAGAGAAAAAGATACAATGAGACAAATGATGTGTTCTTAGAAGTATCTCTAGGCTATGCTGAGGATGAACTGAAGGAGAGTGCAGAGACCTGGATGAGCTAATACGTTGTTTCATCAGTACTCCAGGTAGAGTTAAGAATCTTCAAATGAGGAAGGGCGGAAGAAGGAGGAGAAGAAAGCAGTTGGGTAGATATTGAGGGGAGGAGATTCAAGGACTGCATTGGGTTACTTGTGAGGAGACAGGAAAGAGATGTCAGTCCAAGGTTGATAAGTACTGTCAGATGTGGTGTGGGAGGTGCTGTTGTGACCTGCAGTAGAAACCACAGGAAGAATCATAGGGTGACAAATTCAGCCTGAGTCCAAGGGTCTGTAAGGTGCAATGCATTTGGAATTATCTAAAGACACATATATTTGAAGAATGTGGTTTCAGGGTAAGAATTTTGGGCTAAATATATATGTAGTAATCGGTGGCATGATAAATGAATAAATCACTTAAGTGATATGAATAGAAATTAAAAATTGATATGAGTGAATCAGATCACCAAGGGAGGAAATATAAAGCCAGAAATCTAGAAAACAAAACAGACTAGCAAAGAGAGAATCCAGGGAGTATCAACCACAAAGCCTGAAGAACAAGAGGGCCCAATGGGAGGCTACTAGGAAGGAGCAGCAGAGAATGTGGAAGCAGGGCTCTGGCAGAAAGAAGCATCTGGAACATTGGGAGAGCAAACTCAAAATAATGGGGAAGCCAATGATAAGCAATTGTGGAATGTTAAAAATAACAGACACTGCAGATCGTTTAAGAGGAGACTAAACACAGTCTATTGTTTCAACAATAAAGAGGAAAATAGTTTACTTATCATCATAATCATCTTTTTTTTTAAAGTTAAAACTCCCTACATAGTTGAGAATGGTTCTCAACTCTAAACTCTTCCTATCTCAGTCTCCCAAGAGCCGGAATCACTGCTGTGTGCCACCACAATGATCAGGTTATTGGTAATTTTATAGCAATATATCAAAAAGTGCTGATGATGAAGTGAAACTATCTATGAATTTTCCCATTTCATCTATTTCTCTTCTTTGAAGAAAATACAGTATGTTATTGCAAGGTGCCACAAGATTGAGTGAGAACATTTTTAATTAATTTTTAAGATGGGAAAAATTCTAACCACACTGTAAATTGAAAAGAAGCCCAGGATGGCCAATTCACCTGAACAACATCAAGAGTAAAGGAATGATGTCACAGAAAGACTAATATTCCCATTGAAGTGGGAATGCTATCATACCAAAAGGATAAGAAAAAACACTTTAATTAATGATACTTTGAAAAACACATTTAAAAATCAATTCAAGTTCTGTTTTGCCATACCCTTATTATTGCAATATTGTTCCAATTTTTCCAGCTTTTTAGTTTCATTTTTACACAACTGCATTGCAACAACAAGGAACAAGTCACATCTCTATGATCTCATACATCTTTTAGTCATACCCACTAAATATTAAACACCATGTTAGGCACTGGGGAGGTCCTATTTATTTATTTTTGAAGCAATTGAAACCACAGAATAATCAAAATCAACAGTTAAAAATACTTAGCGTTGTTGAAGACATGTTGGAGACCACAGAAGGCACTCAGAACTGAGCAAATGACTGTTTGCTTTGTGCATCCCGAGAGAAGGTGTCAGTTTTCCCAGACCTACAAGGTTCAGCCTGGATTTGCCAGAAGAACAAGTTGGAGCATTGGGTGACTTTTCCACTCTGTGGATGACAATGTAGAAGTGACATCGTAAAGAAACAACTAGCCTTGAACAAAATGTTGAACAAAACTAAGACAAATAAGAATTTGGAGGAAAAAATATGGTACTAATTTTGGATTAGGATTAGAACAGCCTAAGTTGGCTTTGAGAATCATGACAAAACTTGTTACAGGGGACTATTCAGCTGAAGATGGGAAGTCCTCAGAGGAAGAAATGGATGCAGAGAATTTAGGAAAGGAACAGAGGCTTAAAAATAGTAGTCTGGAGCCCTTGCTAATAAATTTTGCTTAAAAAATGATTTGGGGGAAACATTTTTATCTGTAAAGAAAAACAAGATATGATTACATTTGTATTTTATAAAGTTAGT